AATGTAGAGGGAATAGTTTCTCTTTTCAGTTGCTTCATTTGGTCTCTCTACATTGTTCTGTGCTGGCTGCCTGGCAGCCCAGGTTTATTTAATAATGGCCTGTTTCTGGACATTGAAGCTGGTCCTACCGTGGGGCAGGGAGGCTATTAGGTGCTGCTGCAGTGCACATCCAAACAGCTCTTTCCTCAAATCACAGCCCATCCTCACTGCATAGTGACTGCTGAGCAGAGCCAGCCCAGCCAGCCCCATCCCGCAGCCCAACACCCTTATTTTAGAGGTGGGGAGACAGAGGCCAGATATAAGAACTGACTTATCCAAAATCAACCCCAAGGAGCAACAAATACGAAGTCACCTGGAGGTTTTCTCCGTACTCCATTATCTCTTCAAGATTTTACAAGAGTAGGGCTGGAGATTTAGCTCAGTGGTGCCACCGCCTGCTTCACAAGCACAAAGTCCCGAGTTCCATCCCTGGTACCAAAAAAAAAAAAAAAAAGATTTTACAAGAGAATCCATAATCTTTAACAGGGACCCCCGTGGGATGCAGCAAGGACCTAGTAGCCATACTGCTCATGGCAGACATTACTAATCAATTATTACACCCTCTTCTGCAGAGGCAAGACCCTGGGGTACTTCAACAGCTATTCCCAGGCAACTGGAATTGGCACAAGAGTGTTCTGCCATGCTAGTGCAGCCTCTTTGGGCCAAAAGAGCCTTTACACATTGAGGACTTGAGCCTGTTGAGAGGCATCCTGAGTTCTTGCTTTCCTTCTTTCTTTTGAGCCAGCAACAGTTAGTGAGTCCTCCAAATTTCCACCTGTCCTACCCTGCCATGACCTCAGAAGCCCTCTCTGATTTTTTGCACAGCCAGTCTTCCCAGAAAAGGATGTTCCCTCCTCTCAGCTGGGCCAGAGACAGAGCACAGCTCCAGAGTCAGCCAGAGCTGCAGCCACACCCTGGCCCCTGCATTAGGGTAGAAGGAACTTGGGCAGGTCACCAACCTTCTTCCAGATCCTACCTCATCTGGGAAAAAGGGTCATGACACCCTTATTTTCTCCTCTCTGGGCCTCAGTGTAGTAAGCCTGCTTGTTGGGTCTGGGTACCCAGCTTTGACTTAATATCAAACTCTCTCCCCACAACCCCAGCTTCCACAGACAGCAGTTGTCCCCCGTTCTCTAGTCAAGGAAATGCTCTAAGCTGAGCCCGGCTGGCGCCCTCATGGAGATATTCAAGTACCCCCCAGGGGAGCAGGACACAACACAAGAAAGACCCTGGAGCTGGGAGAGATGAGCCCCGGACCAGAAGGTCACCAGCAGGCCAAGGACTCCATGGCACTGAGGGCAGGTGCAGGCTCCACGTGTGCCAGGATTGTACAGGCACATGTGCACCCTCTGAGAGAACTGGTGGGCCAGTGCCAAGCACAGGAAGCAGGGGTTGCCGCAGGCTCAGCCCTGGCACCAGGCCCATGTGCACCACAGAGGGGCATTGTCTGTGGGCAGCAGGCATGGCCGGCTGAGGAGCTGTGGTGGGGGCCTGTGCCTCTCTGGAGATGTGCCCAAGACATCAGCAGGGTCCTTCTGGGGAGTCCGCTGGCTCTGAAGTATCCACCTTTGCAGTCAAGGCAGGATGGTGAAAGCTCTTTGCCTTCTTCCTCTTGGCAGCTCTAGGAAGATGAGACCAGCCAGGCCACACCATGTGACTCTCTCGGGCTCTGCAGTGGGAGATGGTTCCACAGTGGTCATCCAAGCCCTAAGCACAGCTCCATGCATCTGAACTGAAATCCACAACAAGGACGATCCCCTAGAATGTGCCAAGACCATGTTTGCAGCACACTGGTCCTCTCTGTCCTGGGGTCAAGGGGGAAGGACAGTGTGGGGTTAGGCGTGTGTGGTCTGCACAAGACGACCCCTCATCCTGCTTGCTCTGCCATCCTTGGCTGTGTGACCTTGAGAAAGTCATGCCTTTTCGAAGCCTCAGATGCTCTGTGAAGCACAACTTCCCCTTCTGGGTGACTGTGAGGTGCAGTAAGTGAGGACTTTGCCCCAGCAGGAGTGACTGGATGTTTGTCTCCTTGGTTCATAGCCATGGCTCACATTTGTTTCATTCCACATTGCTCACTACATTCATGAAGGTACAGACGAGCAGAGCAGTGTCCATCACCGTGGAATGAAAGCCCAAGCCTTGCACCACACGGCCCTGCCCCTCAGGACATGCTCCCAGCAGCCAGGAGGAGGTGCTGCCATGATCCCCATTCCACAGATGAGGTCATGAAGCCAGGCATAGTGCCACAACCTGCAATCCCAGCACTCTGAGAGGCTGAGACAAGAGAATCACAAGTTCAAGCCCAGCCTGGGCAACTTAGTGACTTAGCACGACCCTGTCTCAAAAGAAAAAATAAAAAAGGGATGAGACTGCAGCTCAGTGAGGAAGCCTTGGATTCAATCTCCAGTTAACCAAAAAAAAAAAAAATGAAGGCATAGAGTCTCAGAAAGCAGAGCACCTTGCCCAAGGACACATAAAGAAGTGACAGAAATGGGATTCAAGCCTGTTCTCTTTAGGGAATTAAGTAATGGGGATGCATCTCCTTGGATGCATGTAGGAATAAGGGGTGAGCCTGGCTATTCCTTCCTTTAACTCAAGTAAATTATCTGCACTGAGCTGTCATCATGGCTTTTCCACAAAGCTCACCCTTTTGCAAGCAATCCCAGTGACGATAGCCACAACCATGTACAGCTGCTGAGCATTTCCTCTGTGTGGGACCCGTGCTCCGCTGGGTGCACTGTGTTCTTCCAAGTACTCCAGGAGAGGTGCTAGCATGATGCCCATTGCACAGATGGAAACAATGAGGTTCAGAGAGGCTAGGGAATGAGCCCCAAGTCACACAGCATGGAAATGGTGGAGGCGAGACTTCAACCCAGTCTGTCCCATGACACCCCATGTCTACCAAGCTAAGAGACATCTCCAGATGGGTTTCGAAGTCAGGGTTATGCTTCAAATTCTGACTCTGCCATTTGCTGACCCGAGTAAGGTCAGGATAACTGGCTGGTGCTGCATGGGGACAAGGCCCCACTGACATACACACGCAAAGCCTAGAGTGACACCTGCATGATGGAGGCATTTGTTTGGCATCACTACCACTATCTCACCGTTGTCTGGTGGGAATGACTGTACAGGATGCAGGGATCCCATGCAAGGCTCTCTCTGTGCCCAGGCCAGCTGCCCTACCACATGCCCTGGCACCCCAGCGACATACATGCCCCTCCCACCAGTCTTCTCCAAACCTCAGGAAGCTGGAGTTCTTAGCTGCCTCCAGGAAGGGCTCTGGTTCACCAAGAGCTGCAAATATTTACCTTGGAGACCTCAGCCCAGCCCAAGGTCCTGACCCACCTGCACAGGGTGGCTGCCTAGATATAAGGCCGGGTCTCCAGACCCACTGCCCAGGCAGGCAGCAGCAGCCCCAGGACTCTGGCGTGTCCAGGTAAAAGTGCAGGGAAGGGCCAAAAGCCTCAGCTTCCAGGAAGACTCTGTGCTGGGAACACCTGTTGGGGACAGCTTAGGAACACAGGGCTCCGGTAACAACCCTCAGCTGTGACCTCTGAGGGTCAGGGCCAGGGAACGGGGAGGTGCCACCTTCCTCAGCCTTAAGAGCAGTGTGTGATAAAGGGCTGGGGCAGGCTGAGTCTTTTCCAGACCTCATTCCAGTGACACAAACTCACTCTGCGCACACTGACTGCTCGTACTTGACCTATGCTGGGATGACAGTGAGAACAGAGAGCAGCAGCAGGCACACGGGCCCGCAAGGGTCTCCCAGTGTGACTAACATAGTACATGCTGTGCTCAGCAAAGACCCAGGGACATGGCAGTAAAGGGCAGTCAGAAAAGGCTTCCTGGAAGAGAGGACATGCTGGTCATCAAGCTGAGCAGAGGTGACAGAACAAGGAGGAGCAAGAGACTTTCCTGCCAGGGGAGCAGGAGCTGAGAGCCACGTGTGCACAGGCTGGGACCTGGGAAGGGGACACTTTCCCAGGAGGCGATGCCACCAGGATCTCTGTTCCCCCAATCTCCTTTGTCCAGGGGCTAAACAGTGTGTGGAGTAATGGGAGGGCATACAAGCCAAGATGCTGCAGGGATGCAGAGTGGAGGTGGGGGCTCCCCAGGCAATGGAGTGGGCTGGAGGCTGTCCACTCCGTCCTCTAGCTTTGACCACCAGGTGCTTCCTTCCGGCTCCCAGCAATCCTGTAGTGTAATTTATGTACTATAACTATTCCCCTTTTATAGACGTGCAAACTAAGGCTCAGAGAGGGTAAGTCACTTGTCCAGGGTCACAGAGCCAGTAGTAGAGGCAGCCTCCTACTCCTAAGCCCATGATATTTCTCCTCCACCTTCAGGCTCCAGACAAACAGAGAAGGGGGTCCTATAGCTTGACAGGGTCCCTCCAGCCCAAACCTCTTCACCTTAGCAGGCTCAGACTCCTGGTTCTTTTTTTTTTTTGGCCCCAGGGATTGAACTTGGGACCTTGCGCTTTCAAGGTGCTGGAACCACTGAACTAAATCCTCAGCCCCAGACTCCTGGTTCTTTCAGTGGACCAGAGGCCTTTCAAGTTATCTGCAACCATTTGGGAAGCTCTGCTGGGGCTGGCAGGCAGCACAGGGCACAAGCTGGAGAGCTCAGCTGTCACAGGAGCTGACGCTCCATCCTGCAGAGGCCACAGAGGAGTCATGAGGCCAGGACACCCAGATCCACCCCTCAGGAGACACCCACTGGCCTCTCTCCCTGCCTTTCTTCCCCTGGCTCCAAGAAGCCGCCCATCCCTCCCCAAATCCTCACTAGTCCAAGATTAAGCCAACAAGCCTACTCCACAATTTTGAGTCCCACCCGAGTACTCATTCTCCAGCCTCCAACCACCCTGCCCTGGCCCAGGACAGCGTTTCTCTGAGCGAGGTCCAATCAGTGCAGGCCAACCCTCTGGCCTCTCTGCCCAGCTATCTGTGCTCACCCCAAGATCTGCCACCTGCCACCGGCTGCTCACGTACACCTGGAAAGATGGCTGGCCCTTGGACCCTCAGCCTCCTCTGTGGTTTGCTGGCAGCCACCTTGGCTGAAGCCACCCTCAGCCCTGCTGCAGTCCTCAGCCTTGGCCCAGAAGTCATCAAGGAACGTAAGTTTGGGTCACCCCAGACATCACCTCCAGAGGGAAGGGGCAGGTGAACTTCCTCCAAAGAGGAGGGAGTTCCCCAACACTGGGGTTACACAAGGCATAGCTGGATCCCAGGACTTTGGGGGAACAAGAGAATATGAGTTGAAAAAAGAGAGAATATGAGTTGTAAACATTTGGGGCATCTATGATCTCAAGAGTCTATAATACCAAGATCCCTTGTACTTAAACTCCATGATTTCAACAAACCCATACTCAGGGGCCTGTGGCCTGCAGAAGAGGTGTGTGGCTGCTGCATGCAGAGATACAACCACCTCTCCCCTGCCCATGTCTGAAGTTCCAGCATCAGAGCACCTGGAGTGTGAGGCCAGCCTGCTCCCAGTACCTGGAGTCCTCCTGCCCAGGAGTCCCACACACAACTTTTTCAGTCCGCAGCTCTGTGACCCTGGCCAAGTCCCTGAGCCTCAGCTTCCTGAGTCGAAACAAATGAAAGGGCCATCTTGGCCTGGTGGACACATCCAATGGGACAGGAACTGACCAGAGCCTTCTCCACTGTGGCTGAATCATTTTGGGCGGGGAGCTGTCTCATGCACTGTAGGTTGTTTAGCCACATAGTCCAGCCAGTGTGACAATCAAAAGTGTCTCCACACATTGGCACATGTTTGCTAGGGGATGAAATCATGCTGGCTGAGAACCTTTGCTCCAAAGCCTGGTCCTCTGAGAGGGAAAAGCCATTAGCTCTGCAGGACTGTTGAAGGACTCCAAGGACCTGGCCTCTGTGTTCCAGGGAACTAGGCAGAGCCAAAGGATGGGTCCCCAAGTAGGAATGAACCAGAGAGCTCTGGGAGGCAGCAGGGAGACAGGGGTACACTGGGCTCATGGTGTGACTCCCAGGCAAGGGCATTGAGCTGGAAAGAGCTTGCACCTGTCTAATCCAGTGACCACTGTGGGTACTGCAAGCAACGTATGAGTTAGGCCCAGTCAAGAGACAGAAGCCACACCATCATCCCAGTAGTTCTGTTCAATATAAAGAATTACCAGGGGATAAGAAGTGGGTCATGGGTTAAGAGGGAGAAGGAGAACCCTAAAGGATACCCCAGGGATAAAGAAGGGGGCAATTGAGGACAATCCCAACTCAGAGGCACAGAATCTGCCCAGACATATTGGAAAGGGTGTGGCTGAAGGGTATTGCATTGGGGGAGGGAAGGCAGAGGGGCCATTCACTGGGTTGTCCTGGGCCAGAGCTGGTGCACAGTTAGCAAGTCAAGGTGAAGGCAGACAGCCACCTACCAGGAAACCTATGGCCTTCCTCAGGAACCTGCCCTAGAGGAAGGGATGCTGATGACTCACTGGAAGGCCATTGCTTGGTGCCTGCCTAGAAGCTGGCCAGGCCCCACAGAGCTCACCCGCTGCCCTTGGGGACACTGCTAATGCACAGTCCAGCACCACTGGGCAGTGACACCACAGGAGCCTGGCAAAAGGACCACACCGGGACTTCCTCCTCCATGTCCCTCCAGAGCCTCTGCTGGGAGGGCTCATAACGCGCCCACTGTCACAAAGAGAAATTTACAGGGCCCAGCCCCATGATCACAGAGCAGGCAAATGGCCCCAAGACAGTAACTCAGAAATCTGAAACATTCATGGTGTCATGTGGCTGAGTCACCCTACCTGAAGGCTGAAGGAGCTGGGGTATTTATACACCAATTAAATGGCCTCTGGTGCTGGCAATCTAACAAGGACCAGCCCTGGAGCTCCTGACTCATAGCCCCTTGTTCCTGGCTCTTCCTTCCTCAGCCCAGCACCTGAGGCTTGGGATGACAGGCCCATAGGATGTGGGTGCCAACAAATTGTTAGCAAGTGTACTTGGCTGTAAAAGTGCCCCCAGTAGAGCCTTGGGGTCCCCTGACTCTTGGCTCTGGAAGGCTTTGGCACTGGTTGATGGGAAGACTCTCAGCCTCACTCTTTGTGTAAAAGTGAGCCATCCGGGCTAACATACTCAAGGCTACATCTACACAATGGGGATAGAGGGAGGGGTAGGTTGTACCCTTGCCTGATGTCAGGTCTGGGGTGTCCTCCCTATCTTGGAAAACCCACCCACCAAGCCATCCTTCTTGTGTCCCCTACTGGCCCCTAATCCCTGGATCTGCTTCCAGAGCTGACCCAGAAGCTGGAGGACCGCAATGCCACCATCATCCTTGAGCAGCTGCCGCTGCTCAATGCTATGCAGGAGAAGCCAGCCGAGGGCTTCCCGCCGCTGAGCAGACTGATGAACAGCATCCTGAAATCCATCATCTGGTGAGTGGGGCAGGGAACCACTGGGACCAGTTCCTTCCCCACACCTCTCCCCCGACACACTTTGCATGCTGTCAGTCAACAAACATCAGTCCATGTCAGCTCTCTGCCTGGCCACAGTGGCCATAGACTGAGTTTGTCCCTGACAATGCCCATAAGACAGTGACACAGGAACCCTACAAGGGCAGCCCCAGAGGAAGGTGGCCTGGAATAAAAGACAATACTTCTCAGTAGAGGTGAAAATTAAGCCAGAGAGTCACAGAAAGCATCATTCAGGCAGAGGGACCAACCTGAGCAAAGGCATAGAAGGTTGAGAGTCTGTCAGAATGGCTGGAACCCAGACCCCATGGCAAGGAGAGGTCGGCAGGGTCAGGTCACAGAGGGTCTTCAGAGTCGGCCTTACAGTCACCTCCTAAAAGTCCAGGCACCGTGATGGTGTTGCAAGCAGGGGTGGGGAGGAGTCAGTGGACAGGTCTTGGGGTCCAGCTGCTGGAGAGAGACAGGAAGACAGGAAAGATAGAGTGGGAGTGGGCTTGGGGACAACAATTGAACATGAAGCCTGATTCTCATCTCTTGCAAATCCCATCCAGGCTGAAGGTCACTTCTGCTAGCATCCTCCAGCTGCAGGTCCAACCCTCAACCTATTACCAAGAGATAATGGTCAAGATCCCCCTAAACATGGTGGCTGGACTCAACACGTGAGTGTCCCCTCAGTCACAATGGGCCTAGTGAGTTCATCTACTTATTCCCCCCACCATCATGAAGATTTCCAGAAAAAACAAGTGCCAAGCAAAGAGAAGAGTGAGTGCAAAGGCCCTGAGGCCAGATTGTGCTGAAACCTGTGAGCCAGGTGCAGACTTGGTTTTGACTGTGACACAGGTGGGAGCTATGGAGGGCCTGAGCAGAGGACGGACATGACAGGTTTTAACATTTATAAAGGATCTCTCTGGTTGTTGCGGGGAAAACAGACAGCACAGGGACAAGAGCAGAGGCAGGGCAGTATCCCGAAGGTACTGCCGCAGCTAAGGCAATGATGGCGGAGACTGGGACTTCGGACAGGGAGATGGAAAGAAATGGTCAGGGTCTGGGGGTGTTTGGAAGCAGGGTTTCCTGGTGAACTGAATATGGGGGGTGGGGGGGTCATCCAAAGGTGACTGCAAGGTTTGTGCCTGCACAAGTCTAGCATGAAATGGCCAGCAACCAGGCCAGGAAGCCCTGCAAGGAGCAGGTTTGGGGACCATCCAGAATTCAGGGCTGTACATGCTATACTGAGAAGCTGGGTGCTATCACACGTGGAAAGGAGCGAGATCAGGACAGGTAGAATAAAGAAGCTTGGGTGTGAGGGTAACCGGCAGAGGAGACGGAGACCAAAGTGAGGGCACCAGGAGACAGACACACAGCAGGCCTGTCTGCCACGGGCTTGGCCCAAGCTCACACTGCCGGTGCCACCGTCATAGGCCCCTGGTCAAAACCATCGTGGAGTTTCACATGGAGTCTGAAGCCCAAGCCTTGGTCAGAGTGGAGAGGAACAACAGCGGCCCCAGCCGCCTCGTCCTCAGCAAGTGCTCCAGCAGCGGCAGCAGCCTGCGCATCCACCTGCTCCACAGGTGGGTGAGGAGCAGCCCTGGCCTTGCCCACCTCACAGAGGGAGGGCAGGGAGGCCGGCCTGGAGAAGGAGGAGACTTAGCCCTCCTTATTCTTTCTTTTTTTATTATTAATTTTATTGGTACATTTTAGGTATACAGTGTAATGACATTCATCATTGGAAAGTTGTACCTTTACATAATATATCTTGGTTATTTTTCCCCTTCCCCTGCCCTCCCTTCAACCCCTCCATCCCTCCCTATTTACAAAGACTTTTTTGGTTTTTTGTGGGTTTTTTGGTACCAGGGATCGAACTCGGGTCCTTGGGCCTGCTCAGCAGGCAGCGAAACCACTGAGCTAAATCCCCGGCCCTACATAGACCTTGTTTCCTTTTTTTCCTCTTCTCATATTTTTTCCTTTCCCTTCTTTCCTTTCCCCTACCCCTCCCACTTCCCCTTCCCCTTTGTCCCTTTTCTTCCTGTTTCACATTATCTATTATACTTTTTGGTCCTTATTTAAACTTTCAGTTTCTCACACCAGAGAAACTATTCAGTATTTACACTTTTTTGTCCTATTTATATCACTTAAGAGTATCACCTCAATGTACATCCATTTAGCTGTAAATGTCTCTAATTTCTCATTCTTTATGGCTGAGTAGTACTCCATTTTATGAAAGAAAAAAAAAAACACATCTTCTTTATCCAGTCTCCAGTTGATAGGCAATTGGGCTGCTTTCAATCTTTAGCTATCACAAACTGTGCCACTATGAACATGGGTGCACATATATCACTGTGGTGTAATTCTTTTAATTCTTTTGAATTTTGGGGGGTACCAGGGATTGAACTTGGGACCTTGGGCCTGCAAGGCAGGCACCAGAACCACTGAGCTAAATCCCCAGCACTGGGAATTCTTGATCTGGGCTCTACCTCTGGTGCCTCGAACCACCCCAAGCCGGCTTGGGTGGAGCTGTGGTAAAACCAAAGGCTTTACCAGACTTTTTATACTGTGTAATATACATCTATTTCACTTACTTTCTGGGTCACTTCCCTGTGTCTCACCTTCCTCATCTGGAAAGTGCAGGTGACGACACCTTCCAGGCAGCAGGAGAGGATTCAATCAAGCATCAATCTGGCAGGGACCAAACCCTGGTTCCATGGCTAGGACTCAAAAACTCCTTAACAAGAGAGTGGAGAGAAAGGCCATCTCCCTTCATCTCAGTACCAGCACAAATTTCCAAAGGCAACACCCAGGTGCTGCTCCCTGAGAACTCTGCCGCTATCTATGGATGGTGTGGGTCCCCTCCCCACTCTCCAGCATCATCTACCAGCCTTCATGCCCTTGGGCAAGTTCCTCCCTCCCTGTCCTCCCTGCCCTCCAGCCCTTCCTAATCTCCTCCACTCTCCTCTCCCAAAGGCTCTCCTTCTTGGTCAACACCCTAGCAAAAAAAGTCATGAACCTCCTTGTGCCAGCCCTGCCCCAAATGGTGAAAACTGAGGTGAGTGGACTGGAAGGCTCTGGCTTGTGGGATCTGCTCCCCCTGTGGGGCTAGAGGGGAACTGCAGACTGCTGCTTAGGGCATCTCAATGAATGGACACTGCTGGAATTGCATAATTTACTCATCAAAACTAAAACCAATGGATTGGGGCATTGACCATCTTGACTGTCGAGGTCAAGGTCATGGTACTGTCAAGTCAGCTAGGAGGCCTTGATCAGTGAAGCGCTGGTAAATTCTTAACAACTGTGTCTGGAGAGGGTGAGGGGAGGGGCCCTGATTTATAGATTTGCTGCGTTTCCTGGTGTAAATCCTCCCTCCGGGGCCAATTTTAGACTACCAATGTTATGTCACTGGCCAGAGTGGGGAAGAAACATACAGTAGCACCCTACAGTATAGTATTTCCACCAAGCAGTTATAACAGATATAGCCTCAAGGACAATATAGATCACAGGCGAATAAAGGAAAATATTTAGGAAGCAATGAATTTAAGTTTTTAGTAAATGCATATTTAATATAAGTCATTCATTGTAATGTTATACAATTTAATTTTTAATAATGTATGGGTTTAGTACCCAACTCAGAAATTCCTGAAAACTTCACAAGTGGTCCTTAAAAACTGGTCCAAGTTGTTCTAGCATTTGGCTTTCTCACACCAATCTCGATGTGGTCCTCAGGGGCTGCCACGCAACAGGTCCTGTTGGGTTTAGCTTCCAGGTCAGTAAATACAGGTGAATCTCATCTTGCTTTGTAAACTAGATTCATCCACATTGACAATTCCAAGATGCATTCACAACAGCAGGCTACCCCTCCTGTGGTCAAAACACCTTGTCAAATAGCAAAATTTTTTATAATAAGGCTTTTTTGAGAAAAGATGATATAACCAGCTGGGCGTGGTGGCTCACACTTGTAATCCCAGCACTCAGGAGGCTGAGGCAAGAGGATTGCCATGAGTTCAAGGCCAGCCTGGGCTACATAGTGAGTTCAAGGCCAGACTGAAGTACATAGCGGAAACGCTGTCTCAAAAAAAAAAAATTAAATGAAGTACCAAAAGATGATATAATAACCAAAACAATTTGAAGGGAATACCCATAATGCTTCTACTTAACCCAGCAACTACTTTGTCATTTGCATTTCAGCTTCCAATGGTCATTCATGTGCACTTACATTTTTGCTTGGCTACATTTGGTGATAGCCTTTAAATCAAGTATGATTCTGTTATTATATATGATTGTATAATAGCCACAGTCCTTATAATTGCTGCATCATATTTAATATCCCAAAGAGCCTTTCTTCTTAGTAATGTGATTTTTATTAAGAACGCTTTAAGGGCCGGGGATTTAGCTCAGTGGTTCCGCTGCCTGCCTCACAAGCGCAAGGTCCTGAGTTTGATCCCCGGTACCAAAAAAAAAAAAAACACTTTAAACCAACAGTACCAATATTTAAGATAATATTTTATATAAACAATGGGATTTTATGAAGTGTATTTTTTAGAACAACAGAGATTTCAGTTTTGCTCCCAATTGTCTCCCATCCCTTACCATCAAGAAAAAGAGTGCAATATTTTGCCTCCATTTTGTGAAATTATACATCACCCATACAATACAGAAGCATGTGTTTGCTATTGTGAAGTCAAGATTAAGAGTTTCAACTTCTGCTTCTTCAATAGTAATGCTTAAGAGGATCATATTTAGTAAAAAAAAGAAAAAGATTTGGGGTCTGGAGCGTCTTTGCCCTGAGTTACGTCCCCAGTCTTTTTTTATTTTTTATTTTGAGACAGAGTCTCACTAAGTTGCAAGACCTTGGGATCCTCCTACCTCAGCCTCCCAAGCTGCTGGGAATACAGGTGTGCACCACATCTGACTAGAAGATCTATTATTTTAATAGGCTACATATCTATATATTAGAGCAGTCAAAGAAAACTACTGTAAATAAATAATTGAAAACTGAGGCTAGGGGTATAGCTTGGTTGTGGAGCACTTGCCTACCATGAAGGCAAGTTTGATCCTCAGCCCAAAAAAAAAAAAAGAAAGAAAGCTCAAATGAGATTTTATAAGGTTAATTTTATAAGGTTAGTTTCACTGAGGCAAGGTACTTTTCTCCAGTACCTTGGAAGAGGGTGAAGAAAAAGAAGAAGGGGTAGGAGGCGAGGGGAGAGAGTGAATGTAAATGGAGGTATCAAAGTCAAGGCAATGCTTTGTTATTGTCAGAGTTTTGAGGTCCTTAACTGTTAGCGAAAGTACATATCCAGAAGCTTTTTTAATGGAATGTGAAAGTAAATAATTTGGTAAAATTGGGCTTTCTTACAGGAGTTGGTTTTTTTGAAGGATTTTACTCTTCTATTTAAAGGCAGGGATTTCTTGGCTGGGCACATGGCACACACCTGCAGTCCCTGCCCTCTCGGGGCTGAGGAGGATCTAAAGTGCAACTTAGCAGCTTAGCAAGACCTTGTCTCAAAAATTAAAAATTTTTCAAAGGGGGCCGGGAATTTAGCTCAGTGGTTATACCGCCTGTCTTGAAAGTGCAAGGACCCGAGTTCAATCCCCAGTACCAAAAAAAAACCAAAATTTTTCAAAGGATTGGGGGTGTAGGTCCATGAGAAAGCCCTGGGGTCGATCCCCAGCAGCAGGTGCACACACTGGCGCGCACACAGACACCCACACACACACACACATGCACGCCTATGCGGATAAAGACCGTACTTTCTTAAAGTAAGATCCAGCTGTAAACTTTTTTTTTTTGGTACCAGGGGTCGAACTCGGGACCTTGCCCTTGCGAGGCAGCCGGTGGAACCACTGAGCTAAATCCCCTGCCCCCAGCTGTAAATTTTTTTCAAACCTCCAGGAAAATCATATTTTATCTGGCATCATATTTTAATAGATAAAATATATTTTCCTCTAGAAAAGATGGCAAGAATCTGGAACTATAAAACACTCTTTGCATAACATCTATCTCTAATGGTGAAAAAAGCCAAGTAGGGGCTTTCCTTTCATCATTCTGTTTCCCACCATGAGCCTCTGGACTGGACTCAGTGGTAACAAGAATAGTTTATTTGGCTTCAGGGAAAGAAGACCTGCACATATGAGAGGTGAACGGGTGGCAGGAGCTTGTTGGGAAAATTAGAAAGCCCCTTTTCGTGTAAATATGTGGGTCTCCAACTCTGGCTGTATCTCAGAACTGTCAGAGGCTTTTAAAAATTATGATGTCTGGTTCTACCTCAGATTTGGAGGCAACTAATCTGCAATTGATGTGGTGGGACACTAGTATCTTGGGAAACTCAAATGTGCAGCCAGGATTGAGATGCTGATAGGAATGAAGGACAGGGGCATGGTGGGAGAAAACGCAGTGGATGCAGGGGCACCGTTCCTTTAAGCAGATGCCCTTGGCAGTGCATGCTGGGTATCTCTGAACCAGTTTCTCCATCCTCTCTGGGTCTAGGTTAGTAAAGCAACAAACAAACCAGTCCAAAAGGCCTCAGGTAGCCTGGGGGGTACAGTGGACTCTGAGCTCAAGGATGGCTGGGAGTGGAACCCCAGAGTCCTCAACCTGGGGCACAGCAGTGGGACTCCCACCAGGTGGGTGGTTGGGCAGATTCGGCAGGGCTGAGTACCACTCCTCACTAACGCAGCCCCTCCTTTGAACTGTTGTAGCTATGCCCTGTGATTGAGGCTGCCTTTGATGACATGTATGCAGACCTCCTGAAGCTGGTGAAGGGTAGGTGCTCAGTTCCCACCCTGCCTTTTCCTCTTCTGCACAATAAGCCTCTAGGCTTGCCTCCTCCAGGGCCTGAGCAACACCTTGGCCCCAGTAGCAGGTGGAATGGTGCAGGTTGATCCCTGGCCAAGACAAGCAAATGGAAATCTGCCACAACTGCAACCTCCTGAGCATCTTGTATGTTCAAGATTCCATGTGAGACCAGCAAGTACCCAGATAAGTCCAAGTTCATCCTAGCCCTGCCACTGACTTGCTCTGTGACTTTAGGAAAGTCATCCTGCTTCTTTATCCTCAGTTTCCTTCCCTGAAAATGTGGCTCTGGGCTGGGGATTTAGCTCAGTGATTCTGCCACTGCCTTGCAAGTGCAAGGTCCTGAGTTCTATCCCCAGTACCAAAAAAAAAAAAGGAAAATGTGGCTCATCCACCCCACCCCCAGGGTGGCTGGTGAAGATTAAACGTTTACAGGAAAATTTCAGGCACATAGTAAGGGCTCTGCCTGCACAGAGAAGGGCTTATACTTGCTGAGTGAATGGGTGGATGGACAGGGAGATGGGGGGTGGGGGTGGGTAGGAGGTGGAGGGATGAGTTGGATGACACTACAGTGGCCAAAGTGTGCTAACAGAGAAAAGGGAACGAGGGAAGAGACATGATGTGTGCGCAGGAGGGTCATATCTCTCTCCCCAAGAACAGCAGAGATGGGAGAACATGGCCTGGCTCTTTTATTTATACTGGCTCACCGACTCCTCAGACGGCGCATGAAGCAGCAGTCATTACCCCCACTCTCGTTGGGGGGAAACTGAGGCTCTGCGAAATTGGGTCATTTGTCTTAGCTCACAGAAGAAATTGCTGGTAGGGCAAGGCTTGAAACCAATTTTCCCAGTTCCTAGTGTGTGTGATTCAGATATCGCTGTGACTAGCTGCCTGTACTGGCCATGAAGCGGAACTTACTACACCTCCTTTTTATGATAAGGAACCTGGGGGCTGGGGGTGTCGCTCCACGGTAGAGTGCTCATTTAGTACACATGAGCCCTGGGACCGAAAAACAGAGGTTCACAAGCGGGAAAGACTAGCCAGAGTTACTGGGGCTCAAACCCAAGTCTGTCTAGCTCCTCTGTTCCACGGGGTCAGGGTCAAGATCAGAATCGGGGTCAGGGCTCCTGACAGGGAAAGAAGGCACCCAAGGGCCTAATCCTGCCCGCCCCTCCCCAGTCTTCACCTAACGGGCAGAGACGCCACCGCCACCTGGTGGCCAAATGGGGAATCCCGCGGTGAACACAGGAGACCAAGTGCTCAGATGGCTGCATACCTGGGGTCCAGACCCTGCCTGCTTCTGGGTGCAGGTTGCAGTCTTCTGGGGAGACAGAGAGTTATAAATAACAGCTCGAGTCATAGTGTGGCCAAGAGCAAGTCACGTCACTGTTCTGAGACTCAGCTTCCCCAACTGTGCAACAGGGGTAATATAGGACCTACCTGCTAAGGTCTCTGTGAGGATGGGCTATTCACTACCATCCTTCTTGTTGATATTACCAGCATCATCGTCTTCCCTCTGGCTCCTCCCTCCTTCCCCTCCCTGGTGCAATACTGAGCTGCTGGAAGCAGCTGAAAACCACCCGTTCACCCTGCACTCTGCCCTCACAGAACGTTCTTCTTGCCCCGAGCAGTGCCCATTCCCCTCAGTCCTGGAGGCCTGCAGTTTGACCCTCTGACTCTCACCATTGAGGAAAGTGTCATCCAGCTCAATCTAGAGGTGAGTACCTGTCACATGGGGAACACACTGCTCTTCTCTGGTCACCAGGGGTCAGACACAATGGGGAAAGACCCCGGTCATGTCAGGGCACAAAGTCTGCTTTAGAAGTCATGACAAGCTGAATGTGTCCCATGCAGGCCAATCTGAGGGAGGAAGCCTTGCAGGTGGGGCCTGAGGGCCACACAGAGCATGTACCCAGGGGCCTGTCCTCCAGCCCTAACCTTGTGGTGCACAAGATCCTGGGCCTTTCACTCAGGCAAGCTCCTGCAGATGCCCAAAGTGCTGGTGACATTACAACAGAGCTCAGGATGGTGACACAGACTCATAGACCACACAGACCTAAGTTTCTCTCCAGCTACATGACTGGCTGTGTAACTTTGGGCTGGTTTCTTCACCTCTCTGAGCCTGTTTCCTTACTTGTAAATGTAAAGAATAATGGTCACTTATAATAAAATGAGGCCACATAGAACCTGGCAGACAGAAAGTACTGGTAACTGTCAGCTCTGTAAAATGTGGGGCTGCACAACCTTGCCGGGGTTGGATTCCCTGGGGTCCCACCGAACCAGGGTGGCGTGAAGCCCTGACCAGTTCTCAGGGATCCTTTCAGAAGCTGCAGCATTAGGGCTGGGGATTTAGCTCAGTGGTTCTGCCACCTGCCTCACAAACATGAGGTCCCGAGTTCGATCCCTAGTACCAAAAAAAGAAAAAAGAAACTGGCAGCATCAAACATTTCCATCCATCTTGTTGCCATTTTGAAATTTTCCCTTCCTCTAAAGGCTTTGCGGTATCTGTGAAGCTGAAATATAAATGAAAGATAAGATGTCCATGTTGAAATTTGGATGCAGTGGTGCACAGGGGTAGTCACAGGAACTCAGGAGGCTGAGGGAGTAGGATCACTTGAACCCAGAAGTTCAAGGCCAGCATGGACAACATAGAGAGACCTTGTCTCTTTTCTTAAAAAAAAAAATTATCTACGATGAAAAACAATTAAAATCAGAGATTATCTAGGATTCAGGTGAAGGAGATACTGCCAGGCACCAGCCATAACTCATTGCTACAGCAAGGCACTGAAATCCACCCAAAGCCATGCTCAAAAGAACAACATTAATCCACAAATCATGACCTGATCACCTCCGAAAGCCCCCACCTCTCCACCCTGTCCCCGGGGGATTAAATTTCCAACACACGAGCTGTGAGGGACACATTCAATCCACCGGCTCTGCCTGAGGAAGCTGTGGCCTTTCAGTTTGAATACACTCCCTGCCTTGTCTCCTCAGGCCAAGGTGCTGGACTCAAAGGGCAAGGTGACCTCAAGGTTCAACAGCTTGGAGACAGCCCTGATGGTGCCCACCCCTAGCAATGCCGCTTTCAGCCTCCTCCTACGGCAGGATGTGGTGAATGCCATGGTAGCCGCCTTGCTGCCTTCGGAAAAACTTGTGATCCTGCTGGATTATGTGGTGAGCCTCTCTGGGACAGAGGAGAGGCCTCTGCTGCCTCCTCTGCTAAGCGCAGGGGACAAAAACTCCCTGGGCTCCCGGCCTTGGGGTAAATTCCTCCAGTGATGGATCCTGGCTGTGACCTGGCCTCTGAGGATGAAAACCTCCCTATCCCTGTAGGAAGCCAAAAGGTAACTTAGACACTGAGCATCCCAGGGATGGCGCTTGATTACCTCACTGCCTACCACTGTGTGAGCCATGGCAGACACAGCTAAGTGATCAGGGCCCTCCCTCCCCCCGAGCTTGGGGGCCAGTACAACCACATCCACCACCACCAGCCACCTCCTCTGGGGTACCTGATGGGGAAACCAAGGTCCAGGGGAGAAAGTGTTGCTCAGTTATGGGAGGGTGGCAGGGTGGCAGGTCTTCAGGTTAGCACACAGACAGCAGATTCCAAGCCCTTAGGGATTAGACCTCAGAATCAGGGGCTGGGATGGTGAGAAAATGGGGAGTGGTTGGCATCAACCACATTCATGGTTACAGCAAGAACTGAAGTCACTTCTGTCCATCCCTGAGAGCAGGGAGTAGCCTCAGGCTCCTGGCCACTCCCTACCCACAGCAGACATTCACAGCGCCTGGCCTAGGGGCTGTTGTTCCACCAGTGACAGATATATGACCTAGACCCTGGGCACCCAGCTTTTCTGCTGTTTTAGGAACACTTTTTTCCAGCAGTGGGGTACAGACATATACCTCACCTGTCCCATAGAGTTGACCTGCTCTGGCTTCCTCCCCCTCAGCTTCCAGAAGTGGCCCGTGAGCTGAAGTCGAGCCTTGAGAAGATCAGTAAACAGGTGGGTGGGTCCATTCACCACCTGCAGCTGGATGGGCGATTGCTACACCCTGGAGAGAGGTCTCCAGGACAGAGAGCACGTGTGGCACTGTCCACTCCTCTTGCTCCGCTGAGGAACATGGCAGACCAGACCCAGGCTCCCAGAGATTTCAGTCTATCAGGAAAGTTTGAATCAGATGATAACACAGATGACATTTCACTGCAAGTGCAGTGACAAAGGGCAGGTGCTGGAGCGTCACTGGGCACCTGATTTGGCTGGAGACCAAGAGGCTTCCTCAGAGGGGTGGCGTTCCAGACAGGGAGGGGATGCCACAGTACATCAGGGACAGTACACTTGAGGGTCTCTGCAAGGACAGTGTGGCTGGGGCACAGAGAGAAAGCAAGAAACTGGGGAGAAAGGCAGAGGCCAGGGCCCATGGGGCAGCAGGGAGGCCTGTGGCCCTGGTGAAGCACTTGGGAGGCCACACATGGGTCTGATGTCCTTCCAGATTGCGGATAAACTGGACAACACCCAGATGGTCAAGATGGTGGTTCAGGAAGTTCCCTACCTCCACCTGACCCCAGGCAGCACCAAGGCAGCCCAACAAATCATCATGGATATTTTCGCCACAAATAGAGACCTCCACCCACTCTTCACCCTGGGCATCGTGAGTTCAGTTGTCTGTGACTTGGGCAGCAGCATGCCTGCCCTTCACTGTTGCTCTTCCCCCCATTTTGGCATCCAGCTGGCCGTGGGAAGGATTTGTGAATCAAGTTGGGAGTTTTGGGGTCCTAACTTTGTCCCTGTGACTTTATTGGTCAGGAATCTTTGGGCAGAAACTCGACTCACCTGCACAAAAGGGGAACTGATTAGATCATATAACTGAAAAATCTACATGACATTAGCTTCAGGAATAGCTGGATCCAAGTGCTTTAGCAACATCATCTTCATTCTACTCTCTCCATGTAGCAGCCTTTTTTTCCTCTATACTACCTCCACCCTCATACAGACTATCTCCTCACAGGAGTGCCCCAAGCTGCACTGAGCTTATATCCTATCAGATTCGCTATCCCAACAAGAAGGCTGTCTCTTTCCCAAAAGCTCCAGCAAAAGTCTCAGGGATGACTCTCATTGGATGAGTTTGGGTCATGTGCCCACTCCTGACCCAATCTTGTGGTCATAAAATTTGAATATATAAATCTCAACTGGGACACACGCAGGAGTAGGGCCTGGGAGTTGGCTCCATGCAAACCACACCGACAGAGAGCAGGAGTGCCAAGTCCTCTTCTAAAGTCTGAACAGAATTAAATCATCTCCAAGGAGGTTTCCCTGGGTCTTCTCAGGAGCTCTGACAGCTCAGATTGCAAAGCCGCCCTTTGGGTAATGGGATGGGGTGGGGCATCATAGAGCAAGATTTGTGGCAGGGGTCCTGGGCAGGGCCCCTAGAGGCTAACCCTAGGACAAGGCTCTCATAAAGGTGACATATTGGGGGACAGCTCTCAGGGAGCAGGGAAAGCTGAGCAGAGAGCACCTGGGGACTGGCCAGGGCCTGACCCATGGATTGCACCATATGAGTCTGGTAGAGAACAGAAGGCCAGCCTTTTACCCCTCATCATTCAGTTGTTGGCCACCAACAGCCCCAAGGGTCAGGGAGAACAAAACCTCCCAGGGAGACAGCTTCAATGAAACAAAGGGAAATCTAAAAAGAAGGGGTAGCTGGGCACTATGGGCAGCAATGCTCAGCTGCTGTGAGGTGCTGCCACCCTATCTGGGCAATAATGGGGCACCAGCGGCATCCAGTGCGGCAGGCAGAAAAGACAAAACGAGGGCACTGAGGACAGCTGTGCAGGCCATGCTCCTCACAGTTTAGGGGACCTTTCACAGAGGCACAGGAAGCGTGGCCCAACGGGAGGCAGTCTGCTTGGTGCCCTAGCTTCCTCTGGTCCTGGGCCCCCGGGCCAGCCTCACTCCCTAGTGACCCCTCCATGGCCAATGAGAGGCACTTTGACCATCAAGTCCAAGCCTACAGGACAAGGGCATCCTCTGAATGCTGCTGACCTGGAGCTGAACCTGGCACTCTGCCCTCAGGGTCACCCCAGCCAGGGGTCAGGTTGACAACTGTCTCAAGCCCATATCTGGGACCTGATACAACTTCCAGACTTTCCAATAACACTCAATGGCTCACATTTCCCAGGGCCTCCTGGTCCTCTTCCTCATCTTCCTCACCTCCACGACAAGTAATGACAGGGCCCACCACACAGGGGTCAGCTCACTGAACACTGTCACATACTGTTCTTAGAGCACCACCTGACACAGTGAGGACTCTACACATTGGCTGCATTGCTGTCCTTGTCTTTCCCTGCAAGCCTATATGTCAAGTGTCTTATGGGGCAGGGTACAGATACTGTCTCATTTATGAGATGCAGAAATTAAGGCCTAGAGAGAACAAACCCTTCCCCAGGTCACAGCTAGCATCTGAGATTCAGACCAGGAGAGCTGACCCCAGAGCCTCCTTGCATGGCCCTCACACCATGCTGGATGCCTCCACTTCAAAGAAATGAAAGCTGGGCTTTTCTTGTTGCAGGAAGCCAATTCGGAAGTTCAGTTTTACAGTGAAGGTGACCGTCTTATGCTCAACTTTAATGACATCAGGTAAACACAGAATCACTGTAAAGATTCCGCTGATGAAAATGAGGTCTGGCTGTGACCATGGGTCTCTTTAAACACCCACTGAGTGGGCACCAAGTAAGGGCTGCTCTAGGGTGCGCAGCAAGGTGGCCCTGCCTGGGCTCTCCTGTCATCAAGGACTGAATGCCAGAGACAGGGAAGGAAACTGAACAGCCGGACAGCAGCCTCAGGGCAGGCTCATCCTGGCCACAGGAACGGCCCACACAGCACCAGCCTTGGCCTTGGGCAGCCAGTCCTGAACACCTCTAAGACAGGGACAGTGACAGTCAACCCCAGACACTGAGCCCCTTGCCCCTTGGAGCCAGCACAGAAATGGCCTCTGTCCCCGGCTGATTCTCCTGTCCCACACCCTCCCCCAGCCCAGAATGAGTTCAGGGGTTGCCTACTGGACCCTCCCAGGACAGACCAACTTCCAGGGTGTGTTGGGATTCGCCTAATCAGGGTTGGGGATTTTTGTACAAATCAGTGCAAGGATATAAAGCTGAGCCTATGGGGCCTGCCTAGGCAGGCATTCCTGCCTAGCAATGAACAGCTGAGCTAGAAATCAGGTGCATCCCCCCTGCCCAGAGGATCCTGGCCTTCTTATTCCACCTTGCTGGGGGGAGGTCTGTTCTTTGGACCACTATTTGTGCCCTCCCCCCAACTAGAATGTACGCTCCATGAGTCGAGGATTTTATTCAATTCTCCACTATATCATAAGAGCCTGTGCTGTACCTGGTACACAGTAGATGCTAGGTAGATAGCTGTTGAATGGATGACTGGGCCACCACAGGGCTCTTCTCACATACATCTTCTGTTGCAGTTTTGATCGGATCCAACTTATGAACTCGGATATTGGCATATTCAGCGTAAGTATTAACAGATTGTTTCTTGAGGGCCCAGGAATGGGCTGGGAAGGTCCATTCTAAAAAGAGACATTGCCCAGGGTTGGCTTCGGAGGGGATCCCCACAGGGACCCTGGGGTGGGCTGGCTAGCCTCCCGAAATCAGCCAAAGCCAGACCTCCTGGCCACGTGTTCAGGCACCTACTGTGTGCCAGACACAGCCAAGACTCGCACAGCCATGTGCACAGTCCCATGCCTGCTGTCTTTCTGCACAGTTTTGATCCTGTGTTAGAAAACAAAGCCCCTCCATTCACAGTCCCATTGTGATCACAGAGGCCCACCTCAGTGATCCTGTGGGCCTCTTTCTTCTGGGCCCCAGTTCACCCATCTGAGTCAGACTGAACCTGAGATCTCAAACTGGCTGATCTATCTTTTTAGCCGTGTGTTCTTTGGTCTTTATGTTTTATTTATTAACTTTTTCACCACTATTTTAAAGCAAGGAGGTTTCCATGTGAACTTCAGGTCTCTGGCTTCCCTTAGGAAGTCAGAAGCCCAGGAAACTCCCTCAGAGCCAATTCAGCAGCAAAAGAGCAACAGGGCTCTGAGGAGGGGGTGCCCTCCAATGCACCCAATGCCCCACCTACCGGTTCCCCAGGCAGCTGACTTTGTGCCTCATCCAGACCTGTCTGGTCCCCCCAGATCCCTTGCAGCTCTAACGTGCAAAGGGATCTGGGATCCCATCATCTCAGCTGCTGCCCTCTCCAAGAGGATGAGCCCTGCCCACCCACGGTGGCGGGAGGACCTGGGGCTCAGCCAAGGTGACAGCTCCTCTTCTTCCCACAGCCTGAACTTCTGAAAGATGTCATCAGAAAGATCCTCCACGCTGAGCTGCTGCCAAACCAGAACAGTGAGTCCCTCTGCCACTCAGTCCCTTCTCCCTGCAGGGCTTTGCTTTACCTTCTCTGCCCACATTGTCATCCCTTTCACTTGGTTTCTACCTCCCTGTCAGACTCTCATTCATATTCCACCGTCTGCAGGGAATCTTCCTGGTCACTCACCTGGAGTGGGCACTGCACCTCCAACCTCTGGGCCCAGTTCCTTTGCTAGCAGTGCCAGGCCCTACAGAGGGCCCAGAGAGAGCCCAGGCTCCCAGGGCAGCCAGCGGGAAGGCGACAGTGGAGACATACACCCAGAGCATGCTTGAGGTGCCACAGGCAGATCTGGGTTCACGTCCCGGCCCTCTCTTGCGGGCTGCCTAGCCTGAGACAAGCTGCCCAATCCTCCTGAGCCTTAGTTTCTGCATCTGTGAAGCGGAAAAATAAGAGTACCTTCCCCAGAGGCCAGAATGAGACCTCATGTGTAAGAGGCAGAGGACATAGACAGACCTTCTAAGGGGCAGGGTTGCTGGGCACAGTCTGCACCCGACCTTTCCTAGCCATTGCTATAGCATGAAGGCATATGTTAGGATTATGAGGAAGGAGCCAGGAGAGTAGGTAGCGCTGCTCTAAGCCCTAGGTTGAGGGTGTGATGAGAGCTGGTAACCTATGCCAGCAACATCTTTTAATTTCTTTTTATTAGAGTGGGAAATCTCAAAGTATAGAAACCTCTGCTCTGGACAGTGGTAGCCAGTGCTGGTTCTTGAGGAGAAATGTGACAGAATGTGAGGGGTGTACTTTAGGACAGCCAGGAGCTGGTGCCAGAGGCAACAGGTGGGGAGATGAAGCTGGGCAGATGCTGGGGCAGAGAACAGGTGAGCTGAAGCAGAGTCCAAATCTGGCATCCCACCAGGACCTAGGAGTCTGCCTCCCCAGCCTACCACCTCTGACCACATTTGTTATTTCAGGCAAATTGAGAACTGGGATCCCTCTGTCAATCGTGTCAGCCTTGAGATATGAGGCAGCTCACTGGTCTTCGGCCCAGGTAAGTGGTGTGTGGCCATCAACCACCTGCCCTGGCTGGGAAGAGCATCTTCCCACCAGCCCCCACCTGACCCTGGTGGTGAACTGTGGGGAAAGTGGGCAAGTCCTTCCCCCTCTCAGGCCTCAGCTCCTTATCTGCACCTGGGGCCATCACACATTTCCACTTCACTGGTTACCATTCATTCATTCATTCATTCACCAAGTCTCTGTTGAAGGTTCACCATGTGCCAGGCCTGCCCCCAAGTGCTTGAGGCTACAGATAGGAAGGAAAAGAAAACACCCCAGCCCAGCACTTCCAGTACCCACATTCTAGCAGGAGAGGCAGACACATAAACTAATAAAAGCAGAGTATTAGTCCAATTCCATAAGGACTGAGAAGGAAAATAAAGCAGGCTTAGAAGAAAGAGTGATGGCTGAGGAGGAATGCTGTATTAGATGGGGTGATCACAGGCATCTCTCTGAGGGGTGACATTTGAGCCAACGCCTGAGGAGGTGAGATTGAGCCCGGTGGGTAGCTGGGGGAAGTGTCCTGTCGGAATGGACACAAGTGCAAAGCCCTGAGGCAGGGATGTTTAACACTCCAAAAGAGATGAGGAAAGAGGCCCAGGATCTAAGGTGGCATCTGGGTGTGTAGATCAGGAGTTACACACCGCTCTGTGGCTAGATGGTCTCTGATCCATGAGAATCGAAACCATGTCCATCTTGTTCACGCCTCTATCCCAGTACTGTCAGCAGGGCCTGGCACACACTAGACATCCCATGAACATTTGGCATCTGCTGGGGAAGAAGGGCTGGAGCAGATTTTATCTCCAACAATAGCAATAACAATGGGTACACTGTGCACCTGCATCTCACTCCGTCTTTACACTCATCCCAGGTGGTGGATCCCAATGTAATCTCTGTTTTACACAGAATGAAACTGAAACCAGCAAGCCCCTTTCCAAAGTCACACACCCAGCTGGTGGCAGAACTGGGATTTATACTCAGCACCTGCCCTGATAATCCCCTGCTTAGGGCTCCAACCTCTGCACTGGCCAATGTCAGTGAGTTGCCTATCGAAGTCAGAAGAGCCACAGCCAATTACTGATCCCCTACTGTGTGTAGGTACAGATCACAGCAGTGGGCAGACAGAAATCTCTGCCTTCTTGCTGTTTGACTCTACTCTAGACAGAGAGAGATGTTAAAAACAGAATTATTAGCACTAAACAAAACCCACAGATGACTTGCCCAGCACCCTTGCATGACATGGTGTCCAACCTAAGGCTCCAGAGGCATTTTGGACCAAACCCTGGACTCTTTCTTACCACTCCTCACAACCCCAGGGCTGTCAATTAAAAGCACTGAATTCCTGAGCTGTTTGATCCTGGAAAAAACCACAACTTTGAAGCCACTAATTGCATCTATTTTTAAGTGTCCTGTTTTGCTCTGTTCCTTTGTTCTTGGCTATCAGCACATGGGTTTCCTTTCTGTAGTTTATAATATCATACACTTTAAAACCCAGCAGGAGGATATGAGCTGAAGCCAGTCTGAGGGAAAGAGGGTGACAACAGAGGCCAGGGGTTGAGTGGCCAGATGTTCACTGTATGATTCTTTCAACTTCGCTGGATGCTTGAAAATGGTCACCATCGGGCTGGGGATTTAGCTCAGTGGTTTCACTGCCTGATGCGCAAGCGCAAGGACCTGAGTTCAATCCCCGGTACCAAAAAAAAAAAAAGAAAAGAAAATGGTCACCATAAAATCATGGGAGATCTAACAGGGCAAGTTCCTCGTGTTACCCAGTTTCAAAGAAAAGAAAAGAGGCTTGTTAAAAATTCACCTGCCTGGGTCCCCACAGATACAGCCAGGAATTTGCATTTTATAAAACTTCCTGGAGAGCTGTGCTCACTTCAGCAGCACATATACTATAAAACTTCCTGGAGAGCTTTGGTGGAGGGCTGGACCTGGGGACAGCAATCCTGTGCAATCCACCCACTGCACACAGGGAGTACACCTGTGCCCAGGCCACTGCAGGGCAGTACACAGACCTCTGCCCCTTCCAAGAATTCTGCATGAGTGAGTCCAAGGTTATGACCCCCCAAGGCCAGTGGTCACCCTGTGGAGGACAAAGCCAGCATAAACCATAGCAAGGCAGGAAGTTTAAAAAATGATTTTTCTCCTTCAATCCCAGGATACCCTCATGCTGACCCCAGACTCAAACTCCTTCTAGACCCGGACTCTCTGCTCTCCAGTGACAACTTGGATGGTGGCCACCCAGGCCAGCCCCAATCGCACCTGGGAGTGTGGGACAAGCTCTGTGTACCGTTCTTTTCTGCAATCAATAAACGCTTGCCTGTGGCTCCTGCAGTCTGGAGTGTGGCTTTGTCCCTGCACAGGAGTCAGTGGCCACTGGCAGGCTTGGGGGCTGGGCATCTGAGCCACATCTGGGTCATCTGCAGGCTCATCTCAGCAGTCCGGCCCTCTCTGAGCTGTGTCTGGGCCACGTCAGGCCACATCAGGATAACTCCATGGTCCTGACCACCTCCCTCGCGTTTCAGGAGTAAATAAGCCAGTTCTTCCCCTCACCTTCAAGGTTGGCCTCCACACCATCCATGCAGGGCTGGCCCTTTGGGCAGAAAACATGCATTTGTTGAGCTTGGTGTGATAGTTCAAGGCTCTCTAACCCATGTGGCTCTGGGGCAGATGAATTAGGCTCCAAGTTCCAGCCTGGCCCCTCAGTGCCTCCTTGATGTGGCTTACCCGCTACGGGCCTCAGTATCCTCTGTAAAATGGGGATATAGTTTCCACATAGGTATACAGTGTCACCTGTGGGTGATGTCATCATCATTTGTTACCTAGCTTCTGGGGTATTGGGCCTTTATCACCAAAGACCCTTGGTATTCAGACAGTGCATGGCTGCCATTGTCTCCCCAGCCACCCTGATGCCAAGAGGTTTGGAACAGACAATAGGCCCCTGTTCTCCAGCCCTGTTCCACCTCAAAACCAAGTGACACAGGGGGCCTTACAGGAAGAGAGTGGGTAGGCATTTGGGGAAAAGGTGTTACTCAGCATCACAATGCAAACAGGCAGAAGAACACTTACAGCCCCAGGAAAGACCAAGAAGGAGCTTCTCCAATCTACAAGGAGGCAGGCCAGGACACGTGGGACACGTAGGGGCCAGGACCAAACCCTGCACCTGGCACTCACACCGGCATCAGACAAAGGCCCCAACACAGCCCTGACTCCCAAGAATGCTTCATGCCTGAACAGTGGGCAGGAATTTGCTCCCCACACGATACAGTCTATTACTTTTCTAAATGTTATTAAATCTGGCTTTGAGCCCCTACTCACAAGGGAGGTGAGAGAATCAATCCTCTCCCCTCTTGTCTGGGGAGATCTCTCCAGGCTCCCAGGGGTCTTACAAGATGGGGTGGGAGGTAGGCTTCCAAGAGCCCTGGAGGACAGAGCACAACCTCTGGATGTTGGTCTCCTTGATCTCCATGAAGGGGACTCTGTCCCAGCCCACATGACTGTGAAAGCCCCATCCTGGGGTCCACGTTGGGGAACAGGATCCCTTCTCCAGAACAGTGATGGCCCTAGGTACCAGGGTTCCAGACCCAGGGCTCCCTGGGGGCTGGTGGATAAACAACCCCAGCCTCCTCACTCCTGGGGACAGGGACAGCTCCAAGGCCTGAGCTCCATACTGGCTTCCAGAGCTCTGGGCAGGATGGACCAGGCTCCTACAGTGGCAGCTGGCTGGACACCACACCTGCCTGGCTGTCTGCCTTCCCTGCTCACCCCCCAATCCCAGGTTGTTGGATCATCTCCCCCATTACAATGTACTCAGATCCCAGCCTCAGGGTCTGTTTCTGGGAATCTAGCCAAGGCATGCATTTGCTCCATGGAAGTGCTGCTGGATGCCTCTTAGGGAGCATCCCTCGGCCACTCCTGTGACCTGCAGCAAGGCTCCATCGTCACCCCACTTGGCAAACCAAGGAACTGAGGCTTTAATAACTCCCCTCCATCCCAAGCAGGCCCTCCCCACTGCCCATTGCCACCTCTGTCCCCTCCCTCATCAGCCCTCCTTGGGTCCCACCACACAAAGAGGAGAGGAGCTGGTCCTCCCCAGATTTCAGGAGGGAAGACGCCTTTGAACTTCCCCCAATAACCCGCATCCATCCCAGTGACTCAGATGAGGCAGTTCACCCAGGAGCCCTCTCTACCCCAGGCAGAATAGCAGCACCTGGTGGTAAAACTGAGGCCTAATCCACAGAAATCAGAACTCATTAACTCTTCCATAAGTTTCTTAGAAGGAACAATTTTCCAACCCAAAAAGCCCATGAATTTATGACTCTGAGATTTTTTTTTTTTCTTTTCTAAGACAAGGTCTCATTATGTAGCCCAGGCTAGCCTCAAACTCACAGCGAACCTCTGCCTCAACTCTGAGAATTTTGAATAAAAATATTCTCTTCCCAGCTCATGCCTAGAATCCCAGCCACTCAAGAGGCTGAGGCAGGAGGATGTTAAATTCTAGATCATCAGGGAGAATTTAGCAAGACGCTGTCTCAAAATTTAAAAAAAAAAAAAAGTTTAAAAGGGAGAGGGATGTAGTATAGTGCTCCCTGGGTTCAATCCCCACTACCAAAAAGTATAATAATAATATCTTGGCTAATACATGCTACCAAATCCTATTAACATGGTCATTTGCTTTTGACCTTAAAGTGAGAACTTTGGAACCAGCAAACACTAACCTTACATTTCCTGTGCAGCTGCTGTCTTCCAGAACCTGACCTCCCACCATCACCCACTCTGTCCCAGGTGTCTCCAAGCAAAGAAAGAGCTTTACACATGCCTTGACTATGTCCTTGAGTTATGAAAGAGGAGGGAATGAATCACAAGGAAACCCTATGAGAAGTCAACAAGCCATCTAGCAAAGTCACACCCAGGGATGGGTGACCCTGATGGACAGCATAAGGGGTGGATGCTGACACAGCCACTTGTGTGTCCTGCTCTGGCAGCCAGTGCCCCTGGCCTGCGCACTCAGGGTGACTCTGCTAACCTCTCCTGACCCTGGCATGGCTCGGCAGGCCCAAAGAAAAGCTCCATGTGGTACAAGCATTCTTAGAACCCTCCAGAAGTTTCCACACCAGAGACCAGGTTCTCCCCAGCATTAGAATTTGCTGCTGTTTGTTCGGTCGGCACCAGATGAGGCACCAGCCTGCATCCAGGGCTCACAAAGCACATCAGCCTGAGGGCTTCTCACAGCTCAGGGAAGTACTGGGTCAGGCCTCAGAAGGGAGCAGAGGCTCTTGGCGGGCAGCAGAGGGGTCTTCACTGCCTCACGTTCCCAGACTCTCACCTCTGAATTTTACTTTTCCATTGAATTCAGGTGGGTTCGGTGTGCGTGGACAGCTCCTCCAGGATATTAGAAAGTGTAGGGAACAGGGAAAGGGGACGTTACTAGAACCTCTGCATGGGGGCCGGGGATTTAGCTCAGTGGTTCCACTGCCTGCCTCGCAGGCGCAAGGACCAGAGCTCGATCCTCAGTATCAAAAAAAAAAGGAAGAACCTCTGCAGTAAGTCCTAGTCTCCTGTGAGCCAAGGCAGCACAAGGAGAATTAACTTATTATACAGGAAAGGTAGAAAAAATGAGACTTGGAGAAGAAGCTGAGCTTCGGGCCTGATCAGTGCTGCTCTGGGCAGCAAAGATGAAAGCCCCTGAGCTTGCAGCTCCTTTTATTCAGTACCAGGAGAAACAAAAGTAACAGATGACTGGGGAGTGGCGGAATCCCTAGATCAATGAGGAAATATGCAGATGAAGACTTGGTTCCTCACAGGATTTCTCCCGCTGGTGTGGTCTTGCCCTGGAGCATCACAGTATCACAGGATCCTTGAGGTCTCAGCTGTGAGGGGAGGCCAAAATCGAATTATGTCTTGGAATGCCATGGCTGGCCTGTAGGCAGGAGAACTAGGCCTAATCAAATGATTTTTCCCTAAAATTATGTAGCATTGCTCCTGACATATCTCCCTTTCTTTTTGTTTTATTTGAGGGTGTTTTTAGGAAAAGTAAGCACACCCAACAATGGCTTGTCCCTATATATTGTGAGGATCTATAGTGTGTTTGACTGGCTTAGCTGTCTATAAGCATAATTTCTCTTAATTGGGGCTGTAAATGGATTAAAAATCTAGTAATTTTTTTAAACAATGTTGGCTAAAAAACAAAACTTTTGTTGAACTCAAATAAATATTATCTTCAGTCATACTTTTCTACTGGGTATTTAAGACCAAGTTACAGTGAGATCTATATTAAATAAAATCAACCTCTTGCTATCTAGCAAGGTCAATTGAGTCTCCTCAGGCACTATCTTGGAACCACGCATAGAGCCTCTTAGCTCCTGTCAGTGTCAGCCATCAGGATATGTCACGGTCTTGCTTGACCATGTTGCTTTCTGCGAAAACATGGGAGATATTTTTTCCTCCAGGTGACATTCCTTTGGCACACTTTTTGTTGGATCTTTACTGTTTTGGTGTTCAGCAACCTCCCTGCTCAGGAGGTTGGGTGACTCATCAAGGATACAGGATCTTGGAGAAGCTTCCCTCATGTCCTGGATCTTTTCGTTGTTGTTGTTGTTGTTGACCTTGGAGGGCCAGGGCCAAAATATTGGCTGTCATTTTAGCCCAGATACCTTTTTAGTTCTGGTCTCTAAACTTTGGTTGTTGAACACCCAGAAGAGAAGATCAATAACATTAGCGTTGTTAGAGGAGTAGTGAACTCAACTATCATAATTTTACCTGGATATTAAGCATTTTGGAATAAAAATATAGTTAAAAGACTGTTGTTATTGCCAGTCATGGTTGTTCTTGTGGTTGAATCCCTAAGTAGCTATCTTTTTCAGAATGCTTTTTTTTTTTTTTTGGTACTGGGGATTGAACTCAGGACCTTGCACTTGCGAGGCAGGCAGCAGAACCACTGAGCTAAATCCCTGGCCCAGCTATCTTTTTGTAGGATGTCATCTACGGAACATATATCAGCCTACAAGTGTACCTATTATCATAGGTGGCTGGAGCGTAAGAGAAGGGCAAATATCTGAATCAAAAGGTTATTACCATAAACAATATGTTGGAAGACCCATACAATTAGAGGGCATGAATACATTTTGTACACCAGAAGAGGAGCAATAATAAATATCACAATTATATAAAACTTTATGCTCTTCAATGTAGTTTGGTACCAAAAGCATCTTTCTAATAACACTGTTTTGTTTATGCCACAGAAATTAATCCTTTGAAGATGACCAATGTAGATATATCACAATAACATATTTAGAACTTATGTAAAACCAAATGCAACCATTTTA